ATTTTTAGGTAGAAAAAATATATTTAATAAGAGTTGCATTATTATACTTAAAAGAAAGAACATCTGAATGATAAAAGGTAGCCTACAGTAAGTCTGTAGAGCAATTGAGTCTCAACCATGAGTAATTTTGGCCCTAGGGCACATTTTGGCACTGTCTACAGATATTGTGGGTTGTCACACTGGGAGGAGAGGGACTCTTGGCATTTAGTGGGTAGAGGCAGAGACTGGCATTGCTGGCCATCCTACAGTGCATAGGACAGCCCCCCACATACACGTCAAGGAGTGTTTGGTTCAAAATGACTATAGTTTCAAGATTAAGAAAGTCTGCTGTAGAATCTCCACTGACCAAGGGCATGTGTAATAAGACAAGCAGCCTTTAATGAGAATGCACCATCTGCTTAGCATTGAGGGTTAAATGATAATGACTGCTCATGACTTTGCAATAGTAGAGGGAGTGTACAAGGCAAGTAACTATCCCAAGCTCCTGAACCAAGTGTTCCTGCATAGACAGCACTTTGGAGTGGGAGACAAAGAATGTTTTCACAAGTATGTTATCCATGAGGCCACAGTTCTGGCTGAGCATAGTGAACACAGGGCTAGCCCATATTCAAGGGGATAGGAAATAGATCCCACCTCTCAATGAGAAGCATGCAAAGTTTGGGGTTTTCTTTCAAATACCAGAAGCACTTCACAGTACCTGGCACACATTAAGTGTCTGGCACATGTAGCCGTCATTAGTACCGTTGCTTTACCTTTCAGAACAGTATGATCCATGCCATTTAGAATTCTCTCTGCCAGCAGAACTCTTCTCTGACATGGATAAGTGAATGGATGAAAGGAAGGAAGGAAGGAAGGACATAATGGATCTCTCTTGATTCAGGTGTCGACCCAAATATCAACTCATCAGAGTGGCTTTCCTGGAACATCCTATGTGGTGCGCCATCTGTACCAACACCGTATCTCCGTCAGCTCTCCCACCCACTCTGGACTTGTTTTTGTTTGTAGTGCATATCACTGTCTACTTTGTTGTCTGTTTAGAGCATGGTATTTTGTTAGAGCACGGTATTTTGTTTAGTGCCATATCTTTAGCATTCACAACATGTGATGCATGGTATTTAATACATGCATTTCATACTAATGAAGATATAAATGAACAACTACAAATGGAACTCACTTAACCAATGGTATTTTCATAACTTAGGACAGGATACCATCCATTAAAGGCAATATACTATTCCAAAATTATCTTTACTACAGTGTTGTGGTACAGGATGCACATTGAACTGTTACCCATTATAGTTCTTCTTGAGTTTGATGTGGAGTTGGACATCAGTGTGTGTGCTCTTAGGAATCAAATACAATGCTAAACTTCTTGACAATGATGTGTTCTTAATTAGCATCTTCTGTTGCTTTATTCTGCTTTCCAGCAAATATTGCAATACTATATGTGTACTATAAGCCTATATAAATGTGTGATGGTTAAATTAATGACAGGGCTCTTTGTAATGCAGTTTTCCGCTATTTTTTTGCCTTGCTTTGTTAGGTAATAAAGTACCATATTCATTATTGATGTGTGCCTACCTAATCATGCTTGCCTTACTATGATTTTAGCAAATAACAATTTTTCCCTCTATTAGGGAGATAATCCCAATGTTAAGAATCTTCTTTCACTTCCATTCAAAGTGATAGTATATCATGTGGGTAAAAATTCAAGGGGGGAGGACTTCAGACTTGTAATATATTTTCTGTGTAAGTTGGGTGTTTGTGAAGATGGCAGGGTGGGACTCGATCCCCGTACTGGCTGATCTGCCGTTGCCTTGGAAATGTGTTACAACTATAAGGTTTATTCCTGGATAATCTCTTGCAAAATTGTTGAATAGAAAAAGATACCCCAAAGTAGACAATGTGACCTCTTAGGACTGGATTGGGACATAGTTTAAGGACATAGAACAAGTAGAGAATGGTTGAGAGGCTAATTCTGATTCAAGCTGGTATCAATTTAGTCCAGTTCTTTTCCCCAGGACTGCCCAATTTAGGGTTAAATTGGATATTTTTGTGCTTTAGAGATATGGTTACTTTTATGTTCCAGTGGAACCTTTTAATTAGCTTTACTGCTGTCCTGGGTAAAGTAAAAACTCAATCCTGTCTCTTTTAAGGGCTTTTGTACTTTGCGACCCCCGAAGCGGACATAGCAGCAGTGAAGCAGCACTGCTTCTTCTAAATTCTGCTTTTATGAAATTCATTTCAATAATCCTCGCTCAGTCTTCATTTGTACTATGTATTTGAACCATAAAATAAAAACTACCCAAATGAAATTTCCAAGTTATTTTAATGAAGTCTTGAAATAACTCAAACCTCAGAAGATATTTTTTCCTAGTTTGTCATTTAAATTCTAGAAAGCAGATCAGTAGAAATATTCTAATTGGTTTAATTAGAAATGGAAAAGCATAAAATTAAATAAGAAGAATTATACTGGGATTAATACAATTTAAGGGTTTGAGTTAAATAAGGTACATTTAATTGGAGCTTGTAGTTTCTTCTTTAAGAATTTTATATGGAGGAGGCTTGCATATTAGAGTGCCCCAATAAACGTGGGGACATTCTGCCATAGAGTACATACTTGGCAAGGAAGTCATTTTAAAATTACATTTCTCAAATTATGCCTATGACTGTTTTCCAGAGACCTTAATAGATATGCTGGGCAGGGCAGTGGGGAGTATTCTGTGCCCAGCTAAGTTCGAGAAATACTAAGTTAAATGCCCAAACTTGCCTGCAGAGCTTTGGAGAGCTTTTGTTTCTTTCTGAATTTCTAAGAAGGGGCACAAGTAAGGAGCAGTACTTTGCAAACTTACATATCCCTAAGCCACATTTTCCAGGAAAATCTCAGTAGACATAGCTAACTGGTTTGAGGGACTCTTCCTTCAAAATGTTGCGACACTTTTTCATTTTGGTGATGATCAAGGCTGCTCACAAAAGTCGCTTATTCCCCACTTCTTATCTCTAGCGTGGTGCTCAGTGTGTGCCCTAAACTTGCTGAATCCGACACTTAGACCTTCCACTATCTCGTAGCGTGCTTAGGAAATGTGTGTATTGATGCTGAGCTAGAAAGCAGGTCAGTATATCTGCTTTCTCATACTTTCTAAGTGAGCGGCAGAGCTGGGGTCCGGTCAATTTGTGCACACCTGGGACACGCGGGTTGACCATCCATGCTGCATAGAACTATAGCACTGACCTTGGGTGACTGCACGAGACCATGTGACCGCATGTGGGACAGTTGCTTGTATTGTGTAAGGTAAAGGGACTTCTGAATGGGCTTCTGGGCAGCGTTCTAACAGGGAAATATGATATAAAAGATTGAGTTTTGTTATCAATTTTGAGTAATTGTCTTGTAGATGGTATTTTATTTGTATATTAAAAGGAAATTCTTGGGGCCGGGGAGATGGCTCAGTGGAATAAGCACTTCCTTGGCAAACGCAAGGGCCTGAGTTTAATCCCCGGTTCTAAAAAAAAAAAAAAAAAAGGAAATTCTTGATTATATTTACTCCTTGTACTAAGAGTATGTCTTCTTCACCCTACTGCTAACAGATGAAAATTTAACTTTAAGAAGCAAATAGGACACGATTCAATCTCATTAATGCTTTGATTGAGAGGGATTCTGCGAAAACTGCTGATTAGTGAAATGGATCCATATTCCTGGAATTTCTCTTTTGTGTCCTATGAATATAGTCAGAAAGGAATAATATAAATACCTATGATTTTAGAGACAACTAGTTGTAAAATGTCTTGCTTGAACAATTTCTATTCATATGTGAAATACTCACTGAGGAGACAGCTCAGTGGTCTAAGCGCCTCTCTGGCAAGCGCAGGGACCCAGGTTTAATCCCCAGCACTGCATGCCCTGCCAGCCCTGGCACCCTGGGCGTGGTGGCCATGCCTGTAATTCCAGCGCTGGGGAGGCTGAGACAGGAGGATCACTATGAGTCTGAGCTGTGTAGTGAGACCCTGTATCTAATTTAAATAAATAAATAATAACTGAAATATTCATTGAAGTTAGGAAACATTTACCATTTAAAATTTATTCTAGAAGGTTATTCTAGAAGGTCTCATCAACACACTGAAGCATGAAACAAATGAAATGTGACTATTGAAAGTTGGCGATAAATCTTCCATTATTTGCAAACAAAATTATATATCAAAATCTAAGATAAGTTTGAAAAATAAAACTGTTTGATAAGCTAATTCTATATGAAATATCCAGAATTCATAGGATTTTTTTTTTCCATGCAACCTAGGTTTGATACCTAGCTTTGTTATTTCTATTAAGTGGTTACTGAAGGAATAAACAGAAAAATTAGGCTTATTGTATCAGGTTAGAGAATCAGGAAAGTGCAGCATCATAAAACCATGCAGAAAGTCAGACAGAAGGATTAAGAACTGTGGTAAATACTGTGTAGGAATTCAATCAAAGTTAATCTGATGGATACTGCTGATAGGCAGAGATCACTGGCTTTCTTTGCAGCATGAATTGGTAAAGCAAAGGAAGTGGAAGGCAGACCATAGTGGCTAAAGAATGAATGTGATGCAAGAGCCAAGCCATTTATTTGAATTTGGTGGCAATAGGAGAGAGAGGATTTTGCTGTTGTTGCTGCTATTTCAGAGCCCATAGTTATCTCCCCCGGGAGACTGGAAACTCCACAAAAGCAGTATCTCTGTTTCTAGGGGCCTTGCAAGGCACAGTACTGCTTTGGAATGTGTGAGGCTGTCCCTGGCTTTAAGTTGAGTTCATGACTGTGAATGCAGGATCTAAGACAGTCAGTAGTGGGAGTAAAACATACAAAATATATTTCAGAGAGTTCCAGTGCATAGAATTAGGCAGCTTGGGCTTGAAACGTGCTGTCCCTGTGTGCCTCAAGGGTAGCTGGGCTGTGCTCACCTCCCTGTCTCTGTCCTTGACAGTCTCATCATTTATTCACTGCCTTGCCTTTGGTCTTTTTTTATAGCTATGAAAGCTACATAGTTAAAACAGCAGGATGCTTCTCCTGTCGGGTGTGTGATGAGAGGAGTGTGGCTTTGGAGTGCTGGGAACCTGAGCAGCTGCTGCGGACTCAGAGCCCAGCCTTGACCACCAGTGAGCCCACAACACGATGAACAAACTGAACTTCCATAACAACAGAGTCATGCAAGACCGCCGGAGTGTGTGTATTTTCCTTCCCAATGATGAGTCTCTGAACATCATCATAAATGTGAGTACACCCACCTTGGAGGTAGCCAAACAGTGCACTCCCACCAGCGGCCAATTTCAAGCTGTTATCGCTCACAGCCGAAATCCTTTTGGGAGCAACAGTAATAATCTGGCAGCAGTGAGGTGTTAGTCTGTGCAGGCAAAACTTAGCTTGGTGGTTTAAGTGCAGTTGCCTTTGGCATTGCCTTGCCTGAGGTAAAATTAGAGAATTTTGATCACCAAATTAGAAACAACTACTTGCTGTTTTTTAACTTTTTATCTGAATGTAATTTTTATTGATGTCTGAATTTATGCTTTAAATGATTATGGTTGTCATTCACACACAAGGCAGTAATTGCTAGCTTTAATATACACTGATTGTTTTCTAATAATGTTGAAATCTGATCAATTTCAGCACTTTTGAGCACTAAGTTGTTCCTCATGAGTCAGACTCAACTTACTTAGTTAACCAGGAATTTGAAGAACATGATCCATTTTGAACTTTAAAAAATGAGTCATAATTTCTATGCTATGATTTTTACAAGTCTTAAGTATGCAGCTTAATTGAATTTTTGCTAGTGTATTCACCAGGTAACCATTGCCCAGCTGGAGATGGAAATTTTCAGCACCCCTATTTAGTAACCTTTGCCCAAAGGGTGACAGCCCTCCTACCAACAGAAAGTTCTATTGCTTGTTTCAAACCTGCATGCTGCTGAAATTATGTAATATGTTTTTGTGTGTGGCTCCTTTCACTCCCCATTTGGCCTGTGAAATTCATTAGTATTTCATTAGTGTTTACAATTCCATTGTATTAACATGCCTAATTTAGTTGTCCATCTATTGTTGATGGACATCATATGCTTAAAGTATTGAATTAATTATTATTAATACATATATGTGTACACATTTCTGTTTTCCCAATTGAGCATTGAATTATAGGGTTATCAGTATGTGCCTTCAGAAGAGAGTGTCACATAATTTTTTGATAATCAGTATCATACCTAGCATTTTTTAAGGCCTCTCCCTACTATCAACTTCTGTATTTTTCTTTCATTTAATTATATTCTAATGGAATACAGTGGAGAAAATTTGCCTTAGAGAAATGTCTTTAAGTTGTTTTCTGCCTTGTATTCATGGCTCTATTTTTAATTCAATTGTTGCATAAAAGAATTTTTCTATATCTTCTGTGAGTTTATATGACATTTAAATAGCATCATTGAACAGTTTAGATAGAAAAATGTTCTACTTATAACCATAATCACTTTAGTTTTATACTAGCAATCAATAGTTGTTTGTTTGTTTTGCGGTACCAGGGATTGAACTCAGGACCTTGTACTTGTCAGTCAAGTGCTTATTCTACTGAGCTCTTTCCCTGGTCCAATCATTTCTTGATTATTTTGTGCAACCTTGTGTTTTCCCGGGGGATTATCCGAGCATCTCCTATTTATTGCACAGGTTTATCTATTGGGCAGAATGTCTAGTAATGAATTATATTCCTAATTAGGATACTCATTTCTCGATGTGTGAATTGGCACACAGATGGTAGCTGATGTTATTATAGATTGAATATCTCTAATCCAAAAGTGCAAAATCTGAAAGTCTGTAATTTTGGGTTAGGAATGCTCAACTAGTTGAGTTTATGTAAATTTTCCAGAATCTGAAAAACTTTGAAATCTGAAACACTTCTGATCCTAAGTTGTTTTGTTTTGAAGACAGGTTCTCATTATGTAGTTAAGGCTGGCCTGGACTCTCAAGTATTCTGCTTCAGCTTCCCAAGTACTGGGATTATAGAAATAGGCCACTATGCCCCACTGATCCCAAGCATTTTGGATGCAAGTTACTCAACCTGTATTTTAATCTTATCATAAGGAGGGAAAAAAATTTATACTTCCTTAATTTCCTGTTTTTGCAAAATTAGTGTAGTAATCTCCCTAAGATAGTCAGAACTATGAGTATGAACTTGTCAAGCCCAACATATGAATAAGGTGGATTGTAGAGTCCACCGCGACCTGGGTTGCAGTTCTCATGCCTCAACTTACTTTGCAGTTTGGGTGTGTTTCTTCGGCTTGGTTGATCCATGAAGTGGGGATAATGTTATGTTCCTCACAGAACATGGCATGGATTTAAGGGTGTTGCCTGTGTAATGCCTGGTGCATGAGCTTGTGCAGTGAGTCCCTAGCATTTTACTTCATTTCTTTTATCTGTTCATTTCACTAGCATGCCCAGTCACAGAAGCCCGAAGTCTGAGCCCCGTGTAGGCCTAGAACGTGGCTCGCTTCAGGGTGCACAGACTTTCACCGTGCCTGAGCCCCTCGCCAACAGGCACTTGGGCCCAGGGGCGGAGCCTGGGTGAGCCTTTCTCATGGCTAGAAAGTGAGTCAAGGCTGCAGCCAATCTTGCTACAAAGTATTGTTATTAAAAGTCAGAAAACAGCAATTAGTGTTTGCAGAGTTTAGTGTAACAGATTATAGAAAAACTGTTTCATTCACAGTCTCTTTTCATCATTATACTTTTTTTTTAACAGAGAAAGGCTGTTTCCTGATAAGTGTAATTGATAGAATGTTGCCTTTCTGTATATGGACTTGATTTAGTGTTTTTGGCCATTTGGAATCTCCATAAGTTATACGTGGGGCTATTTTAAATGATTTTCTTCATCAGGAAAATAGTAAGTATGGACACTTATAAAATTTGGTAAATGAAAGAACCATAAAGTTTCAAGTGAAAGAAGTTATGGCCAAGAATTTATACATTCACTAAGACTGTAGCAGTCACAATTCTTTTTTTTCTCAAAAATGTTTCAAACATTTTTGTTCAGTTACAAGCCACTGGCACATTCAGAACTAACCATTTTAAAGTTCCATATGGAGCGCAATTTTAGATGAAATGTTAACTGTTAATACTTCTTGCTGTGTGACACTTTAAATTTCTCATTGCTTCTGAAGATTAAAAAAGTTAGGACATTTCACAATCAGTTAAAAATATCGTTATAAAGACTCATACTATGCAAATACAGAAAGCTCAAGCTAGTTTTCCCATCAGGGAAGACTTTAAAGCCACATCCTTATTTAATTATAGTTTTTGAACAAGAATACTGTACTTACTTGGTGGTTGTTAAAGAGCTTTATCAGTAGGCTCCAAATACTTGATTTAAACTAGCGGCACAATGATAATTATAAGGGATGCATGGAAGAAATGTTACAACATTATTTGTTCAAGAGTCACACAAAGTTACAACAGTTTATTTTATAGGCAGTTAGCTTGTGGTTTGAAATTTTAACTGTTGTTACAGTTTATTCTGCCTGCTTTGTGTCCAAGTAGGTGAAATTGAGGATTAAATATAGTCAAACTAAAGATTAAAGTACTCTTGAATAACACAATATTTTAAGTCTCAAATTTGTAGTATTTAGTTCAACTTAAGACTTATCTATGACATGTGATAGTTTTAGCTGTTCTTTATCATTCTGTTTATTTAACTTTATTCATAAGCTAGAATTTTTGTGGAACTCAAAATCCAGAGAGCAAATGTTGGAAATAACAGTAAGTCTTCTTTGTAACTAAAATCAAAGATGTCAAGTGAGTTCAATCAGGGTAGACATATACAGGGTTAGTAATACTCTCTTACGAGCAAGTGTGTTCTGCCATTTGTGTTGGTGAGATTGCACTGCTGTGTTTCCCTAAATTGCTAAATGGAACATTCATAGCATGGTTTCCTTGCCTTTTAGGGGAAAGTCTATAGTCATGAAAGAATGTATGAGGTAGGGCCAGCAAGATAGCTTAGTGGACTGAAGCACCCGGGGCACAATGATACAGAGACTGGGCATGGTGGCACACACCTGTAATCCTAGCACTTGGAAAGCTGGAAACAGAAGGATCACTATGAGTCCGATCTACATAGTGAGACCCTATAGACCCTGTGCTAAATACATAAAAAAAGAAGATATCAGGAGCCCACAAAGAATCATTCATTAGACATTTACTAAGTGCAGGCTATGTGTCTTGATTATATAATAAAGCTCACTGTCCTTACTTTTCGACCCCTGAGTGTTCCTTAAGCTACTGTATATGTACTAGTCTGGCCATAAATGTCTTTTGGTTTTTCCAGTGAGTAAGGTACTTCAGGTTAGTTACCAATTGGTAATGACTGTAGAAAGAATAAGTAAACCCATCTTTCTCACTATGACTGTAGTTATTACTAGTTCTAAACTATTTAGCTTTTGTTTTTTCCTGTATTTTAGGGAAGGAAGTATCTACCGGGTATCCAGGGTCTCACTACTAGATCAGACTCACAGTGATTCTCCTGTTTAAAGCCTCCCAAGTGTTGGGATTACAGGCCTGCACCATCACACCCAGTCTCAATTGTTGTCTCAGTGTGCCCCGGGGGTGGTGACGGGGCCATCACTGCATGCCCCAGGATCTAACCCCCAGCCCCTGGGCCTGCTTGCAGGCACTTTAATCCACTGAGCTATTTGGCCAGCCCTTTGGCTTTTGGTTTTAAGGGATCTTCTCATGGTTTTATTTTCTTAATTGAGGTTCCATATTAAGGTATGATTAAAAAGTCACTAATTCAGAGTTAACTAACTTAGACTTTATAATAATTTGAATAACTATCATCATGTTTGAAGAAATGATTACAAAACTAATATATATTAAAGGAGAAATAACGTGTGGCTAAAATTATAAATCATGTTGTACATATTTTAGAATACATATATACAGATATTTTAATACACAAATACATTGTGAGTTGCTTCCTTTTCTGTTACTAAAACTACATAACTATAAGCTGGGTTATATTTTATACTTTTTTATTTTATACTTCTATAAATGAAATTGAGCTGGGTGGGCTCTGAAAGTTGGTCACAGCTCTAATAAACTTTGGTGACTCTGAATTTAAGATGGCCACCCCTACAACACATTAACACTTGGGGAAGTGTAGAACTGAGTTCCTAACTCAGAATCACTTTTCTCCTTAGTGCCAAGTTAATAAGGTTTTATGATTATACTAGGACTCAGAAAAGGAAAAAGATATTAGATGATAATAGTAATTGATTATTGGTTGATTTCTCGATAATAGCCGTTGAGACCATATCTTAAGTGAAACAAATCAGATGCACGTGTTCAGATGTCGTGTGGTTTCTCTAATGTGTGATACTGAAGGTGTAAAAAAGGACCAAAATGTATAATAGATATTGGGAGATGGGAAGAAAATGTTCATATGAAAAGGATAACAGGGAGAGGAGAGAAGGAAAGAAAAAAAGGGACAAGAAAACAATAGAACAATAGAAGGATAATGTAGAAACAAAGCTTTGTAGATAAGAAGGGATGGAGGGGAGGGGAAAGGAAAGGGAAGAATAGAAGAAGCAGAATATATCAGGTAGAGGTACAGACTCCCTATGGTGGATGCTACTGTTATGTGTGTCTGAACTGTGCCAGTAAAATAAAAAGAAAAACAGTGATTGATTAAAATAAATAAAAGCTACCCAGTCACTCATTCTGTAGTATGTGAATATTTTGATTAGACCACTGAGAAAATTTTTCCTGAAAAGATGATTCCTCTGAATAAATACTTCTCAGAAGAAGACATACAGCTGGCAAAGAAACGTATGGAAAAGCGCATAGCATTTCCAAAAGGAGGGAAGTGCAAATTAAAACCACAATGAGCTGTCATCTCATACCTGTTACCAAAGAGCAGTATGCTATTCAGCCAAAAAAGATGGGAATCCTGTTATTTGCAACAGTGCAGAGGAACCTGAAGGACATTCTGTGAAATAAACCAGACACTGATAGACAAATAATACACAACCTCATTTGTTTGTGTAATCTACAAAAAGTAACTCAGGAGCAGAGAGTTACAATTGTAGTTACCAGAGCCTGGGCATGCATAGAGATTAGAGAAATGTTGGTCAAAGGAAACAAAATTTCAGTAATGAAGGAAGAATAAGATCAAGAGCTCTATTGTTCAACATAGTGAGTATAATTAATAATAACATATGCTTTAAAATTGCAGGCATTTGGGGCTGGGGAGATAGCTCAGTAGAATAAGCATTTGCCTGGCAAGCACAAGGGCCTGAGCTCAATCACTGGTTTCCCCCAAAAAGTAAAATAAAATAAAATTGCAAGAATTAGACTTTTAGTGTTTTTACATAATTTGATATATATTACATATGCAATTGTCCATCCTATAATGTATAGCTATATTATATAATGTAAGCAGCATGCTATACATTGTAAGTATATGTTATTTTTATTTATCAGTTTAAACAAATTTGTTTTAGAAAGACAAGTTGTAAGATGGATATTGTTGTAATCACAGCAGCCTGTTCCAGGTATTTTCTGAAATACCCATTTTTGCATATCCATGGTTGGAGAGCCTTGTTTGTGTGTTGTAAGATTTAAGAGTCTTGTGCAAGATGGTATTGGATTTTATTACCATGTTGTAAAAATGGATAGTGTGATAATCATTATTGAGACACAGCTACAGATTAAAGTGATTTCTGTAAACCAGCAGTGGTTTTGCTAATATCAGCTTGTTCTATCAAGGCGCCTGTTTACGATGCATTAAATTGCCCAATTCTAGCTTGCCATGTAGACTTAATTTGTTCTCAAATTATGCCTTTTTATCCTCTACAGGTTAAAATTCTGTGTCAACAGTTGCTGGTCCAGGTGTGTGACCTGCTCCGGCTAAAGGATGGTCATCTCTTTGGACTCAGTGTTATACAAAGTAAGTCTAAGTACTTTGTTTGTTGAATTTACCCAGCTATCTCTGAAGAAGTGATATTTTTATAAGCTTAAATTCAGCATATTGTTATAAAGCTGTGATTTTCACAGTACACAAAAACTGGTTCTCAGTTTTAGTTAAGGGTTTAGCTTTTAATACAATTACTATGTATTTCTTACAAGATTAAGAGTTTTAGTTCATGTATTGACTATACTTTGAACACAAAATTTTGTTCTTATTAGAATCTAGATTTTATTTGTGATTATTTTTTCTGGGTACCTAGGATGAACTCAGGACCTTGTGCTTGCCAGGCAGGCGCTTATGCCACTGAGCTATGTCCTGGCCCTAGAAACCTAGATTTTAATGTGCATGTTCTTTTATATTTTAATGAACCAAATGATTTTATTTCTTAGTATTCAGGAAATAGCTGAAACTTAAGGAAAAGGTATATGAGATATTTTTATAGTTTATAATTTTTGATGTTATAAAATAATTTGAAGATAAAAATTAATTCCTCTATTCAATACTGATCTTATTAATTGAATCCTATTTTCTGTTTCTCTTCTCTTTCTGCAAGTCAGATTATATGGCTTAGAAGTAGAGGATCATTTTTTTCTTTATTTTGTATGTGAAGATATTTCCATGGAAATAATTCCACATAAGCTTTCTTCTCCCATAATGCCTTAGAGTTGAATTCTTAGGACTTATCTATGGCCATTTTCTATGAGCTTTTTTCTTTCAAATCATATTTTTGAAATTTCTCTAACTTAGTCTTCTGTATACCAAAAAAAAAAAAAAAAAAAAAAAAAACTCATGCTTGTTCATGTTGTCAAGATTTTTTTGTAAAATGTATTTTCTACTTGGGTGAGGCTGATCTTCTATTGCTAGAATTGGTTTATGTTGAAAGGTTTAATCTGGGTAATCTGATCACTACCATAAAATGCTTATATCTGGCAGGTTAAAAAGTGTGTCATGGTGAACTGCTAAGTCAGGCCTCTTCTCTAAAATGTAGCTGTTTTCAGTGGCTCTGCTAGGAGAGGCCACAAAACACGCCAGGGGACAGACACGCTGGGGCCCAATGAGTCAGCCGTTGGCCCTTCAGGTTCTTCCCATGGTGGTCAGAGCACCACAAGCACCAGTGCCCAGCTCTGCCCTAGTGTTAGTACAGACATCAGTCATCTTCCAGGACAAGCCGAGGAGCATTCAGAAACCCTGTAGGTTCTAAGTAACTTCTGTTCATCTGCATGCAGGTAATCCTCCTTACACCAGCCACAGCCAGATCGCTGATCTTTGTTGCTCAGCAGGTCAGTCCAAGAAAACCAGTTTACAGCTTCCTCAGGTCCCAGAACAGTGCTAAGATGGCCTCCTTACAGGAGGCTGCAGTGTGGTGAAAGAACGTTGGGACAGGAGTCAGACGTCCTGGTTCTCCTGGTTCTACCACCAACAGCCCACGTGGCTGTGGAGGCAGCACTCGGCTTCCCTCTCTGTCAGATTTTCCCAAACCAAGTAAACCCCACTGCTGTGCCAGCGTGGCAGGACGGACATGTGCTTAAGAACATTTTATTTATGAGCTATTTATGAGTTTTTAAGAGTAGTTTTAGGCCCACAGGAAGTTGAGAGAAGTGTGCAAAGTTCCCATGCAGCCTGCACTCACAGGCACTGCCTTCCTACCAGCGCCCTGAACAGGACTGCACGCCTGGTACAGCTGAGGAGCTTCCATCCACACTGTCCTCACCTGAAGATGTAGTGGGCATTTGGTCTCACAGCTGGTGTCTAGGTTCTGTGGGTTTAGACATACAATGTTACGTCATACAGCTACTGGTTAGTACACGGAAAGGTTTTACTGCTGTAAAAGCGCCTACATTTTTAGATAGATACCTAAATAGCCATTGTACACTGAATATTTGCGAAAGGTATAGTCTCTGGAGTATTAAATATTGACATGGAAAAATACAACTATTCTAATATTCTTCTCTAATGTCATATAAATGCCGTACATCGGAACATATCTGAATTTTTGAACTGTTTGAAACATAATTCCAGTTACTTGTTGCAACAATACTACCGAGATTTCCCAAATGCCTTTCTCTCAGATTCTTCAGCACCTAACATTTTACTGCTCTGTTCCTTCCATCCTGCCTACCTATTTATACACTGAATGTACTCCAATGTATATTTCCTCAAAGCAGGAATACTCTATTCTCTTGTGTGACCACAGTGTAAACCTCATAGTCAGGAAACCAATACTGATATGACCGTGACTGTCTTTTAATTTTGTCAGTTGTTATCATAGGCAAAGAAAATTTAGGCCCATAAGTTACATTTAATGGTTACATGTCAGGTCTTTCTTGATTCAGCATAGTTCCTTCATCTTCGCCTCCCATGGCCTTGGCATTTCTGCAGCGTGCGGTCAGGTTACTTTGGGCATGTCCTTCAATTCAGATTTCTTTGTTGTTTCTTTATGATGAATTCCAGTTATGCGTATTTTTGGTGGAAATACTAGGTCAGTGGTGTTTTGCCATTCTCAGTGTATGATATCCAGAGACTGAGGGCCTGCCAGTTAGCTCAGTTGTTTAAGTGCCTGCTCATGCAAAGGCAGTCAGGTGCAGGATATGGCGGTTTGAACCCCACCTCCACCTGCCTTAGCCCCGCCCTTAAGGCAGGCTGAGCCAGCCAAAAAAGAAATCCTTATAATATGTATAGACACATGGTACATATTGGTCTTTTTTGGTGATAATGTTAACCATGTTGTGTTGATATCACATATTTTTCTTCATATGCGTGAGTTCATACTAACACTTCCAATAATTTCATGAGACATCTTAACTCTTCCTCTATATTTCTTTCTTGAGCAATAAGAAACTCAGCCTATGTGTTCACTCACTTGCCAGTGTGTTGCAAATGATGTTAGGAAGGGCACAGAGAGGAGAGGCGGGAAGCTTTGGGAGAAGGAACTTCTGTGTCCTCTCTGGGCACATCGTTCTGTACAGCTTCCATGTGCTCAGCTAGCTAGAGTCTCCAGAGTCTTTAGCTGTAAAGCCCTGATCGCAGTGTCAGATGGTAGAAATACAATAGTAGTTAATAGGTATATACATGCTGCCCTGGCAGGCAGTGCCGCTTCTGCTCAGCATGCTGCTGCTTCGTGTGGAAATTCAGCAGAACACGGGTAAGCTTCAGTAGGAGCGTTTTCTGGTCTTGTCCAGTTCAGTGAAAAGGAGAAATGGGAGACAGTGTCTCCTAACCTAACAACCGCATTTGGGTAGCATCCCCTCTTTGTTGACACTGGGACTTCTCCATCATCCTTTTCATTCAAATTAGAAACCTGAATATTCCATTTCTACTCTTCTGACTTTTCCCAGTTGAACTCCAGTGTTCAGCTAGGAATAGGCAGTGTAGTTAGGCTTGTTTATTCCTGGAGTGGTCAGAGATATACTTTCCTTCAGATGTGAGTATTTTTATGCAGAACATTTCAAGAGGATGCCCCCTTGGTGATGGTTAGAAAAAGGAATTGGCATTTTAAAAAGTTAGATTTAAAACTATAGGAATGCTAAGTGCTTTTTCTCTAAAGTGTCTCTATCTCTCTGTCACTCTGTCAGTTGTTCTCTCTCTCTGCCTCTCTCCCCCCTCTTACTCCCTTTCCTTCTCCCCCCACCCGTCTTTCCCCCCCCAAGATCCCCAAGATTTCTCTTTAGGAAAAATGAAAAATTTTGTGGCATCTTGTTTTCATGTTTAGATGATTTTTATATCACATCCTGTTTGCTTTATAAATAGCTATCAGTCCCTTGAAAGGAATATTTTGGCATTCATGCTTGTTTTGCATAAGGTTCTTTTCTTCCCCCTAGATTGGTTCCAGAGGCAGTGCAAGTAATGGTTTATCATTTTGTCATGTGTTTTGCTATGGGGAGACAGAGAATGAATATTCTTAAAGATTATTTTTCACAAGCAGGAGGCAGAAAGAGGCTCTCATCGCTGCTGCCTAATGTCTCCCATAGCAGTTAAGATATTTCTGCCCTGTTTCATTATTTGGCACTTATAAGGGCAGTCTTTTGTGAGCTACACAAATTCATGTTTTTCTAAAACTAATACTACAGTGTTTGAAGTTAGATTCCTACGTTATAATGATCCTAGAAAGGGGAAAGAAAAGCAGGAGTTGGAAACTAATGTTTCTTCTAAACATTACATAGATCACCAGTATGAGTTCTATATTGCAGAAGCAAAAAATGGGTAATCTCATTAATGTGTAGCTTACAGAACCTTTTATCCTTTAGTGTCTTATTGAGCTTTCTTGGTGGTATAAATTCAGACTGCATTCCCATATCTTGATGCATTTTTAAAGTTGTTATCTCTGAATATTCTTTTTAAAAATGTGTCTTTTCTTTAGTGTTTTATCTCCTTTTTTCAATGTACAGATAATGAACATGTGTACATGGAAATGCAACAAAAGCTTTATAAGTATTGTCCAAAAGAGTGGAAGAAAGAGGCCAGCAAGGTACGACAATGCGAAGTCACCTGGGTGAGGCTACATTTAGGAGCAAAATTATTTTGATGTTTTTAAACAAGTTTATCTGAATTTTTATATATTAGAAAAAACTCTTAAGCAATACTTCATTCTGTAAAGATTGGGGAAAGAAATTATAAATTGTAAGATGTTAGGTATAATGATATATTTTGAATGTCTATAAATAATATTGGGTAATAAATTTTTTAGCAATATCAGAATAACACTTTGAAAGTAAAAGAAAAGTTATTTCTTGTGGTTGTGTTATCAAAACTTGTGCTGGAATTTATTAGTAATTAATGCTACTTTTACTATACATATATTTGATCCTTCATATTTCATTATACCAGATCCCTTATTTAGTAATTATAAATTCTGTTTATGTGGGAGAACATTCACGAGGAAATTTGCATAGAGTTTCCAAGATCACCCTCCTAAATCAGAATAAAGTCATAATACTTAATCCCAGATCTACCAGTTTGTAGTTAAGAATTCTCAGGATAAAGGGGAAGACTACTTCAAAGCCAGCTACAAATAAGAAGCATGACTGTCTGAGTAAACAAACAGAATTTGGTATGTGGAATGTCAAGGGAACAAGAGGACATTTGTAATAAGGAGCAAATGGTCACCACAGGGGACAGAGCTGAGCTGGGAGCTGGATCTCAGCTAGAAATTTCCATGGTATTATTTTTATCCTCCCGTATGTTGTCATTGGCATTACTTTGACTAGCAATCAGAAGAGGGTTGGTGCCCTGTTTGGCTTTGTAACTTCCTAGTTTCTCAGGAACCTGCTATCCACAGGGGTCAGTTGCCCAGTGTTCAGCGCTCCCTATGACTACAATTAGCCCAAGCCCTTCCCTGCTGAAAAAGCATCTGGCAAACAGTGCTAAAATGGAGACTTTTGAAATTCATTTGTGAAGTAACTTATTTTGAATAGCTTGTTTTTTATGCATATCTTTGTTTCAGGGCATTGACCAGTTTGGGCCTCCCATGATTATACATTTCCGAGTACAGTACTATGTGGAAAACGGCAGACTGATCAGGTATGAGGACAAGGAGAAGTGCAAGCCTCCTGCCTCCCACAGCACTTCTGACAACACACCAGCGTTCTGGTGTTCCACTTCTGGGAACATACGCTCTGTAACAGCAGCATTGTTTTCTTTTTTAGTCTTTCTGCATACTCACATACCTTTGGTTCCTAAACATAGGTGTTGTAGACACTGAATGAATATTTGTTGAATAAATAAATGGTAATGGTAAATTGTGAATGAAAACATTATCACTATCACTAGCTATCATTTTCTTTATTCCACATTTTCACGAACAAATAGTCATAAAGAAGAAGCAGTTTTGTGAAGAGTGGAGAGCTTGATTAAAGGATTATTTTCTTTTCCAGGGATGGAGTGGGTAGGGTAGGAAATGGAGAAAGGCCTTCTTTTTAGCCGGGTTTCCATTCATATTTGGGGTCTTGCTTCTCTTCTAATGACTGATTCAGAGCCGGGGTTAAGCCCAGTGGAGCTCTTGTGGTACTGAGGTAGGTCTTGGCAAGGGCAGGCCATCGACGGTTTTTGCTCAGGGCTGGGCGCATGAACCATGCTCATGATGCAGACTCAGAATCTCTCAGTTTTAAAGCCTGGTTCATTTTGTATAGGAGGATTCAGTGCTGAAAAACTTTCAGAGGTACTTTTTTTTTTGCCTAAGAGAAAACTGTAGGAAATGTGACCTCTGCTTCACCTTGGTTTTTTTGGTTTTTAGTTTTTTAGGGTTGGTTTGGGTTTTGGGTTTTTTTTTTGTTGTTGTTGTTGTTGTTTTGATTTTTTGAGACAGGGTTGGTTGTACTGTGCTGTTGAGGCTGGCCTTGAGGTCACTTTGTACGCAAGGCTGTCCTTGAACACACGGCGATCATCCTGCTCAGCTGCCTGAGTGCCAGACTTACAGGCCTGCTCCATCACCCCTAGCTTTGCTTTGTTTTTAAACTTTGGTAAAGGCCATGTGAAAGAGAAAAAGGTACCTCAGCTAGTGAGTTATGTGACAGATTAGTTCTTGATAGTGTTTTATATCACTGCCTGATGCAAATTAAAGCCAAAAGACATCAGCCCTTGAAGAATTTTATTTAAAGCTTAGGAAACTTCATTAGGCTGAATTTACCTAAAATAAATTTTTCTTCTTATTTACCTTTGAGGAATGCTCTAGAAAGAAAGAAAATTTATTAGTTAACTACTAATTAACTCCCTGGGGCTTAATGAGTGTTGAATTCATCCCCTCTGCCTTTCCCCTCAAGGATGAACCAGTACAAACAGTGTGTGGTCAGCATTATGAAAAGACGTGCTCAGAAAGTACTGGGTCCCCAGGGGAATAAGTCTATGAATGCTTTATGTTTAAGCTCTTCATACTTGGTTAAAATAAACCCATGTTTATATTATCATCTGAAAAACTATGAATCTCAGGTAAACTCAGCTTACTGTAACGGGAGACAAATAAGCTTATTAAAATATAAATCTATGCACACACTTCTAACTGTGTTTTTACTTTGATCACAAACATCCTGTTTACCCATAAAGTTGTTTTTTATTTTTTTAACCAGGTTTTTCCCTACTCTGCACTTCTTGCTCAGCACGTTTAGTTAGTGGCGATTGTATTTCTGGCCTCAGTGGATTTTGCAATGAGCATTTCTTTTTGTGGAGGCAATCGTGATGGTTTTGAGGAGGCTTATGAAAATGTACCCATAAAGTAACATTCACTTAATATGAGACAAAAACATTCAAGGGTGGCTTTCAGTTTATTCATTCTCAGGGAATTACAAACACAAAAAGGACTCTAGGTGTGCAGATTTTTTTCAGGAAGGCATATAAACAAACATTTGTAAAAGAGCCTTAGAGTATTTGTAATGTGCTTAACTAAGAAACAAAGTTTTAAAAATTACAGCAAAACATAAAAGCCGGAATCCTGGCTCATACTATTCTCATTTATATCCCACACAGCACTATGGTGGCAGAAATTTCAAAATGCAGACAACAAGTGTGTGAGCTTCTCAGTTCTCTCTGTTCAGGGCTGTGTTTACCATGTCAGAGGGAGTTTTTCAGACCCTTTCCCCTCCTCTGAGAAAATCAAGCGTGATGAGCTGAGGAGAGACTGTTTGCAGCTTGGGCAGCCTGACTTGGTGTTCCAGCGTCTATGACCTGAGTGATGCAGGTCCTAGCTGTGACCACCCTGTTTCAGGAGGTGGGCGGGGGAGCAGGAGCAGGCTCCTGTCAGCAGATGGAAAGCAGCGCTTGGGCTGTTTACGTGCCTTCTGTCGCATTGTTCCACCAGACTGTGACTTCTGCTTTCTTCTATTTTCCTAGTGACAGAGCAGCAAGATACTATTATTACTGGCACCTGAGAAAACAAGTCCTTCATTCTCAGTGTGTGCTCCGAGAGGAGGCCTACTTCCTACTGGCAGCCTTCGCCCTGCAGGCTGATCTTGGAAACTTCAAAAGGAACAAGCACTATGGAAAATACTTTGAGCCCGAGGCTTACTTCCCATCTTGGGTAGGCACTGTTTCCAGACTTTAATGAGGGGTTTTCTCAAGTGCATTTCTAGTTCATTGTGCTGCTCTCTGCTCCTTCATGTGATGGGAACCCACATGTTCTGTGACCGGTGCTCATGATGCCCAGCTAGAAACCTAACACTCGAGAGCTGGACACACGCGATGTCTTGAGGTCCTCAGTGGGCAGCTGGCTGATGGGCAGGGCACTGCTCCTCCTCAGCACAGTGGAGCGTGAGGTTGCCAGCCTCCTTTCAGCATGTACACACTTGACTGTGGCCTTCTTACCCACCTTTCATGAAGCTGCATTTTCCCCCTTTGAAGAGAAAAACATTATTTCTTCAAGGATGAGATCATTCACAGTTTTCCTAGGCTGAGAAAATAAATCTTAAGTCAATTTCTCACTCCAACTCCGTGTCCTTTCTTCACATGACAGGAACCACCCCTTGCATCAGTGGGAAAATGTAGGTTGTGCTAGCATGAACTGTCTCACCCTGGTCCTGTCTGTCTTATCTTCCCTGAGTCTGCTGTGTCTTCTCTCTTCTGTGGTGTCACCTCTTGTCAAACTCACTCCTTTGGTCAAAACACACTAAACTTGATGCTACCCACGTACCCTCGAGAAAGAGGAGCCACCTCCTTCGGCTGCCTCCTCAGGAAGGCCTGTAAAAGCCGTGTATACTTGGTATGTGTATTCCTCAAGCCACTTCCTTCAGCCTTCCTTTCCTACCAGCCTACTTACTCAGTGCTGTCGGTAAGATCACCAGGGGCCTCAGTACAGCTGAATCCAGAGAATACCCTTCACTTCTTTTCCCGAATTTGGCAGCTATACTTTGCTATATACTATACAGTGATGCTTTGCTGTATAATATATTGTACAGCTCACATCTGGGGAGATTTCATCCAAATCCATGTACATTCAGGTAACTCCCAGTTCTGTTTCTTTCCAGTCTCTTAGGTAGCTTTCACCAGGTTCCTCAAACTCAAAATGTCCTACATCAAATTCATCTTCCCACCTCACTTCAGTGTAATCCTAGCTCTGTGTAGGGCCCACTGCCCAAAATCTGGAGTCATGTGAACTCCTGCTTGTCAGAGAATTCCTCCCTGTCCACTGCTTTCTCCAGATGAGCACTGAACTCCCCCCATCCCCATGGCTATAATTTTGGAAGAATTAGATAGGACCCAGAACCTGCAGATGAGCTGATACTGGGTATATTTTAGGGTACCAGTCATTTTGCAAGCATAAGCTAGGAGGTACACAAAATCATGCACTCTTGCATGGGATATTTTTCTTGGGGACTTAATAGCCAGAAGAACCCATTTTCCCCATTTCTCTTCATTTTTTGTTTTTAGATATGCAGCACTACCCCAGATGGAGTTTGTAGCTTATAGTATTAGCTGATTAAGCCAGTAACATACAGATGGTGAAAGCAGAACAAAAGTAGGACTTTTCCAGTGGAAATTAGCCAGCTTGCATAGCCTATTTTAAACTCTCACCCTTCCATCTCACCCTTCCATCATTTGGGGTGGGAGTTGTACTTGCATGCCTCCAACAAATGCTCCATTGCACGCCCCCTTATGTCCCAACAGGTTGTTTCCAAGAGGGGCAAGGACTACATCCTGAAGCACATTCCAAACATGCACAAAGATCAGTTTGCACTGACTGCTTCCGAGGCCCATCTTAAATATATCAAAGAAGCTGTCCGGCTGGATGACGTCGCTGTTCACTACTACAGGTTGTATAAGGTACAGAGCTGCGCTGTGTCTGTGGTTCTGAGGAGAGCACTCCTAGTCAGCATTTCAGTCATCTTGAAAACTGTGATTTCCTTTTTAAAACAGGCTCTCTTCCCAGGACTTCACCATGTCCTTCACATTAAGCTATATCCCCAAACCCTTTTTTAAAAAAGGAATTACACAGTGTTGAGACAGTGTCTCACTAAGTTACTAAGTTGCCTGGGCTTGGTTTGAACTTGGCAGTCCTCCTGCCTTAACTTCCCAGAGTGCTGAGAGTACAGGCATGTGCTAGCAAGCCCTGATAAACTGGCTTTTTAATGTTTCATTAACATACAAATGGTGATCAAAATGTATGATGACTATTTCAATTTTTAAAAGTTATTACAAGTAAAAGACACATTGTTATTAATCCCATTAAAATACCCCCCTTCGCGTAGAACACAGGTTTTCCACCTTTCTTGCCATTTTCAGAAGTAGTTCTAGAAGTTCTCTTTCACAAGTGTCTGTAGGAGGTGTGGTCAGAAATACGGTAAGCTGCCGCGCCGGCCGCCTCCGGGTGCGCTGAGCCGGCGGTGGAGTCCGAAACCCAGCACTTGGGAGGCAGAAATCAGGAGGATCGCTACTAATGTGGGCTATGTAGTGAGACCCTGCCCAAAGAAAAAGAAAAGAAAGAAAACCTTAAAAAAAAAAAAAAAAAAATACAGTGAGCGCTGCAGCCGAGTGCAGTGCATGGAAAGGCAGCTTCCTGCAACATGGCGGTGTGTTCTCATCCACCTCATGCTGCGTTCTGGCGCCCGGCCATTCCTGACTCTCCCAAAGTCAAAATAACCCTAAAAGATACACGTTTCCAATCAATTTGGGACACAGAGGCAGCCATGACAGAGCAATTGAAGACGCTGGTGGGTCATTCTGTCAAGTGATGGTGTTTTCTTCTGGTCAAGAATGAGGATGAAGCATTTCTCTCTTTTTTCTTTTCTTGATCTTAATAGTGAGGTAAACAAATGGTTACAAGTTGTGTGACTTTTTAGGATAATGGAATAGTTTTTTTTCTCCACCCCAAATGTGCTGCTCTGCTTTGGGGAGTAACATTTAAACTCGTATTTAATTTTGCTTAGAGTCAGGCCACACCCACAGTGCATCCAGCAGTCTCAAGAGCTTAAGCTCATGTTTATGGAGTATGAGGTTTATTGCGCACACTTTGTATTTCTTTTCTTGTTTTTTTTAATCTTTGTAACTTATGAGAGTGAAACTATAATCACTGTTCTACAGAACTGAGGCTTAGGAGGTTAAGTAGTACCTGAGATGGTAGAACCAAGTGGCAGAGCCAGGTTCAGCCCAGCCCTTGGTGACAAAGCTCCTGAGCACGAACCAGGCTCTGCACTCACCTCACTCTCTTAAGTCCTTAGTCCTTTGTATCCTGTGCATGCAGAGGCTCATTTTTCTTTTTATTTATTTATTTATTTTGTATTTTAGGTAAGGGTCTACCGGGTGTTCAGGGTCCCACTACTAGATCAGACTTGTAGTGATCTGCCTGTTTACAGCCTCACAAGTGCTGGGATTACTGGGTGCCCCCAGTCTCAACTGCCATCTCAGTGCGTTCTGCGGGTGGGGCCTGCACAGCAGGCCCAGGGATTGAACCTCTGGTCCCTGCACCTGCCTGCAGGCACTTTGATCCACTGAGCTATTTGGCCAGCCCTTAAAGCTCATTTTTCTAACCTGGCCAGAAGTCAGTTGCCCAAACAAGAATGGGGTAGAGCACCTCACATGATTTATCATCTTCTCACCTTCTGTCCCCACCCCTGTCCGTGCTCCCCAAGTACACCTCCTTGGCAGGAGCTCCTGAATCTCCATGAATGCCTCCAAACCAAAGGGATGAAGTAGTTCAGAACATGGTCCATTGGGCCTGACTGCCTAGGATTGAATCCCAGCTTGGCTTCTTCCTGTGGGACCTTGGGCGAATTATTTAACCAATGTGTTTCAATATCCCCATAATTAACTGGGATCAGGAACCTACTCCTTAAGATGGCAGCAATGAAGACGATCTAAAACTGTGCCCGTCACACTTTAAACTTGCTATTGTTACTATTATTACTGTGTTTATTATCTCTACTGTACCCTTTATGTTAAAATTAGCATAACCTGTACCATTGGAGACTGGGCTGTATTTGGTTTGTAGTGCTGGGTAATCTTTCTAGCTGGTTCCAAAAATTAATTAATTGATTAATTTATTAAGCTTTTTATAAAAATGTATTTGATTCAGGGTCTCACTACACAGCTCAGATTCATAATGATCCTCCTGTTTCAACCTTCCCAGCACTAGGATTACAGGTGTGCATGCCTGGTCTTGGTGGTCGGCAGTGGGGACAGCACGGCATGTGGTAGTGGGGCTCAAACCTGACTTCTTGCACTTGCCTAGGCAGTCACTTAGACTGCTGAGCTTTCTCCATGGCCCTTTAATTCATTCGTTCATTCATTCACTCTCATTCATTTATTCATTCAGTACTAAGTCTCACTATGCAGCTGAGACTCGTAGTGATCCTCCTGTCCCAGCTTCCCCAGGCCTGGGATTACAGGTGTGTTCCACCATATACCTGGTTTCGGTGGCTGGCATGGCATGCATAGTATGCAGTACTGGGGATCAAACCTGGGTCCTTCTGCTTGCCAGGCAGTCACTTAGACCTCTGAGCTGTGTCCCCAGCCCCAAAAATTTAGTAAGTGGCCAGCAACTGGTCTCTGTATTCCTTCCACCCCTTCCTTGACCTCTCGCTCCTGAAAAGATGTACTGTGACTTGAAAGGCACAATTAAGGTCTGTAGAATCTTTTGGAGTGAATTCCTAAAAGACTGACTTGGGACTTTTCCCCCTATTGTGGCACTTCATTTTACATGGAAAAAAAAATGTCAACAAATAACATTTTTAATAATCAGCTTATATTTTAAGATATATTAGAAGTGTGAAAAATACATTAGAAAGATTCTGGCTTTTTGAAATTAGACATCACTTAGAAGCCCTATGTCACTATTCATGATTGCTGGGGTCCTGGGCCATTGCAGCTATAATCCTGGGCCATCTATTACGTGGGAGCAGTGCTGTGAACTCCAGCAGTTGGGAGGGTCGTGGGGTGATGAACATGAAATGCTAACACGGTGGGCTCCCTGGCACGTTAGCAGATGCTTGGTAATTAGTCAGTGCTTCTTGCCTCACTTGCCGAGGAAACTTGCTACTTTAAAGAATTCTATTAATAATCTTTTAGTGAAGTAAAAATACCCAGTTTGTCTTTCTGCAAGATTTAATTTTTAAATTTTGCTTAGCATGTGGTTCTTTCTACATGACATAGAAAGTGACTTGCTTGTCTGCTTGAAATAAGATATTTAGTAACAATGTGATTAAAGTGGCTGATTAGATATTGTCACATGAAGGGCAGTTTTCATCCTTTGGAGAAATCAAGAGGCAGCCATTAAATCTGATGCATTTAGGGTTTATTGATGCAAAAAGGGTAGACAGGGCAGGGAGCATTCTGGGAAGAAAAAACAAAAGTGCTTTGTGTCCTTTCCCCCACCAGTAAACACCTCACATGTGAACAACCAGCATTTTATGGGCAGAGTCTTATTTCAGAAAGCAATCGGTACAGCTGGGCTGGGAAATTGACCACAGTTTAAATAGTGATGGATTGGCCTCTCCTGTTAAATCTTACACTGCATGTGCCTTTCTGACATAAAAAATGCAGGAGTTGGAAAAGAATAGTCCAAACACTGAAAATAGGCTATGCCTTCTCTATGCCAAGGGGAGATACATTCTCTAAAAATATCTCTTTCCATGGTATTGAGGAGTGTTGTGCACACATCCATTTATTGTTTCAAGATACCTCGTGATGAAAATATTTTAGTTATTAAGTAACTCTTATTATTCCATTTTGAACTTCATTCCTTAAATGTATTTACAGATGAGTACATAAAAGATGTGGCCAAATTTCCGAGTACCTTTTTAATTGTAGAATTTTTTCCTTATGTTATAGTTTCAGTTTTACATGTTACAGTTTACAGTTTAACTAGAAGAATGTATATCATACTGGCAAGCAATAATTGAGTTTCTTAAAAATACATATTTCCAAACTAAATATAAAAGATAATTGTATTATCTGTTGTCATGAGACAATCATAACTGTTTAGTCACTTGCCTGCAATTTGGTTTCATGGAGCTGTAAAATTAGTCCTGTTTTAAATATATATAAAGTTTGATACCTCTCAGACTGTAACTATGAAATTAGAGGAGTGAGTAAGCCTAAGATGGAAGGTGAAAAATAAATCAAATGATGCAAAAGCAGCAAAAAATAGTGTTACCTTCTAGAGCTCTCAATAGCATAAGTGTTTAGAGTATTGTCAGAGTGAACGTGCGTATACTATAGTGACCATGCTAAAATTTGAACTCTAAGGATACAAAATGTATTATATGCCATTATTAATTTAGCATATGCTTATGGTTTTCTGAACTCTTATTGGATACTAGGCATATGGAAAGACTTGAGCAAAGTTATTGTAAGTCAGATGCTTTTAAATTGCAGAATCTCTTTCTATTTCTTTGATGCTGAAGTATTCATTTCTGAAGTATTCATTTGGAAAAATACTCTTTTTTTCATACAATTTTATTCTAACAGGATAAAAGGGAGATCGAAGCTTCGCTGACCCTAGGGCTGACCATGCGAGGAATACAGATTTTTCAGGTGGGTGAATGAGAAAGAAGTGTCAGCTGGTCTTGACCGCATCTTACGTGTAAGCACACTCCCGAGGGATGTCTCCAGCCACTGCTTCCTGTTTGTCTCGCACAGATGTTGAATGATACAGGTTGGGCGAAGTGACTCAACCTGATGCTTGCCAGGAGTGAGTTCCCCGTAGTAGGAAACAGGCCGGAGAGTAGCCCAGATGCGTCACCACCACATCACTAACAGATCGTTACTACCCTAACATTTCTTTGCATGTCATTGATTTTTCAGTGTTCTCTTTTATCCCACAGAACAGTTAATAAGTGTGGAGAGAAAAATGGCATTTTAATATGAGGTCTGGCTAGACATTTTAATTTCTGCTGCACTTATGTGATAAAACTTGTCCCTGGAAGGTGGTATGCCATTGTCCTACAGGGAGGGAAAATACCTTTCCACAAAACATTAGGATGCTCTAAGGATGTCTTACCTTTAATGTAGGCAGAATATCCAGTTATGAAAGTCAGTCTCTTACTACTTTTCTGGTATGCCTGAATTTTTGGACTTCTTATTTAAATTGTGTGGATAGGCCAGAAGGGAAAAGATTCCCTTCAGACAGCCAGTTCATGCAGTTGCCAGGAACCCAGTGCTATGGAATTTTATCACTAATCTTTTAATTACTATCTTTACCTTTCCAAAGAGAATTTCAGAAGTCTTTCAGATTTTAATTACTGAATTTTAGCTGGGGAAGACTTTAGAGCGATCTTAGAGTTATAACTCCACGTGCATTGTAATTCTTTTCACAGAATCTTGATGAAGAGAAGCAATTACTGTATGACTTCCCCTGGACAAATGTTGGAAAGTTGGTCTTTGTGGTAAGTTCAAAATAACTAATTTTAAAAAATAATATTCTTACAAATTTGGGGCTTTGTATATTTGGGTGTGTGTGTGTGTGTGTGTGTGTGTGTGTGTGTTTGGTTTTATTTTTAAAACATTTTGTATCAGGCACAAAAGTTATTTTTTAAAACTTGAAACCGAAGAAAATTTACTCTCCTGTATTCTTATGGTCCTTGTCATTTGTATCCTAATGAGCTTAAAATCAAAGAATCTTAAAGCCGAAGAATTGTCTGATTGTAACGTGCGCCTGCTCTTTATCACGCGACCCTGTTATTCCAGCTGCAGAAGCAGTGTGGGAAAAGTACAGGATGAGTTCATCAAACAGAATTACCGTTTTAAAAAAACAGCAGAAGAATTGGAACGCAGAAAGCTGTAATCACAGGGTGAATTACCCTTAGTGTAGACGTTGGCTGCTTCTTTTGGAAGTTGTTTCTTTTGAACAAAGAATAAAGAGTAATAAAAAAAAGATATTTCTATTAATATCTCACTATTTAAAACTCATCATTATAAAGAAAAGTCTACAGTACTTAACAGGAAAAGTACTTTTATTTTTAGAATATTGAAAATGATACACTTGCTTTTGTGAGAGAAAATTCTTGATTTTTCCCAGCTATTTCTTTACTTCACCAGTTATATCCATTTTATTGGCAGAGTTCAAAGAATTAAAGTTCATAATGTATACATCTGGTGGTCATTAAAACCCATAATTCTGCTTTGTTCAGAAATTACTGGAAAAAAATATACTCAGAAAGGAAGACGCTAAGGATTTGTAGACATACACTTCTCTCCTGTAGGCAGACAGCCTATTTAAATAAAAGGTGGCACTGACTCCAGGCTGAGCGGAGTCCACAGGCCTATTTGGGGCTTCCTGTCATCTGAACTCCGTGGGCCCTGTTTGGTCTGATCTTGCGTCAGTCACATGGCGAGTGGGGCTTGCCCTATTCCTTCCTCACTGGAGCTTGTGTCCAAGCTCTGTAAAGGCTCTGAGGTGTTTGAAAATGAGCAGTACCCCACATGCCCTTCTGATAGCCCAAAGTCAGTAGTGATGAGCTGTATTTATGAAGTTGTATCAGTTATATTTTAGAAGCTTGTTAAAGTAATTAATGCAACTAGAAATGAAAATGGTGAAATCAGAATGGATACTGCTAAAATCCAGAAAATGATTAGCAACTGTTCCACAAACATATATGCTGCATAATTGAAGAACTCTGAACTCTGAATGGAGACAGTCTTAGATACATGTTAATTGCCAAAACTGGATTAAGAAGACTTTAACAAGCAATGTAATTAAAGTGTTAATAATATAAAACTACAGGGCTGGGGAGATGGCTCAGTAGAATAAGTGCTTGCCTGGCAAGTTCAAGGGCCTGAGTTCAATCCCCAGTTCCATCAAAACAAAACAAAAACAAAAAATCCCTTATACTTTAAAAAAAATTTTAAAAATTAAAAAAAGGGGGGGCTGGTGAGATGGCTCAGTGGTCTAAAGCACCTACTTAGAACAAGCTAAGCTAAGCAAAGCACAGGGACCGCGGTTCAATCCCCCAGCACCACATGCCAGCCAGCCCCGCCCCCTGGTGGGCTGAGCTGGCCACACACAAACACACACACACACACACACACACATTAAATAAATAAATATTTTAAAAAATAAATAAAATAAATAAAACTACAGACTAAGAAGCCCAGGACTGGAAGGAAGATTCACATCCAGATTCTGCAAAGACTTTAGGGAAGATCTAACACCAATATTCCTCAAACTTTTTAATGAAATTGAGAAGGAAGAAGTGCTTCCAAAATTATTCTCAGAGGCTAACATTATCTTAATCCCCAAATCAGACAAGGATCCAACCAAAAAAGAGAATCATAAACCAGTTTCTCAAATAAACATAGATGCAGAGCTCCTTAAGAGGCTACTGGCAAACAGAATAGGACAAATCATCAAAAGAACATATGCCATGCCCGGGTGGGCTTAATACCAGGAATGTAAGGGTGGTTCAGCACATATGACTCAATAAATATATCACGTAAAAGGAAGTAAGGACAGAAATCACATGATCGTCTCAATAATCACAGAAAAGACCACTGACAAAGCCCAAATCCATTCATGATTTTTTAAAAGCCCTAAAGAAAATAGATACACAATGTCTTTATCTCAATATGATAAAACGCATATAGGACCAACTTGCTGCCAGCATCATATTAAATGGGGGAAAGCTAAAAGCCTTCCCTCTGAAATCCGGCCCGAGACAAAGATGCCCATTATCACAACTCCCATTCAGCATAGTCCTTGAAACAATAACCAGAGCAATCAGGCAAAAGGCTCCTAGAATTAATAGCCAAATTCATCAGTAGGACACAAACACACAAAATCAGGAGCATTCCTGTACACTAATAATGACCTCACTACAAAAAGCAATCAGGAAAACAGTGCCATTCATGATATCATCAAAAATTAAATATTTAGTTCTTAATATAATGAAGGAAATGAAAGGAATTGACTACAATAAAGATTACATCAGACTGAAAAGGAAAATCAAGAAGTACCCCAGAAAACACAAAAATATCCTCCTGTTCCTAGTTAGGCCGAACCAACATAATCAAAATGGCTAAACTTCTAAACTGATACAAATTTAATGCAATCTCAATGAAAATAGAAATGTTACTTTTCACAGAGGTAAAGAAAATTATGAGACCAGAAGAGACTCAGAATAGCAGAAATAATTCTGGGTAACAAAAATAAAGCAGATGCATCACAGTCCCAAACTAGAAGTTATACTGTAAAGCTACAGCAATTAGAACAGCATGGTACTGCTACAAAAACAGGCATGTGGATCAGTGAGCTAGAACATAAGAAGCAGAAGCAGCTCCAGCCATCTACAGCTATTTGATTTTTGACAAAAGAGTAACAAACATACACTGGAGGAAAGACAGCCTCTTTAATAAATGGTGCTGGAAAAACTGGATATACTCATGCAGAAGATTGAAGCTAGACCCATATATATCTTAACCATGCACTAAAGTCAAAATGAATCAAATATTTAAATGTAAAACACAAACACTTAATCTGCTGGAAAATAAAATAGATATTACTCTTAATGACATAGACATAGACTAGGACTTTCATGTATAAAACCCCAATGGGATGAGAAATAATACTGAGAATCAGCAAATGGGACCATATCAAATTTAAAAACTTTTGCATAGCAAAGGAAACAACAACAGGGTAAAAAGACAATGTACAGAATGGGAAATTAATTTTGCAGGCTATTCCTTGAACAGTGGACTAAGATCAAGAATATGTAAATGTAAACCTTTGCAAAAATAACCAGACCCTCACCCAGGTAAATAAGAGACCAAGTCAAAAAAATGGACAATTGACATGAATAGATGCTTCTCAGAATAAGTACAAATGACCTATAAATACATGAAAAAATCTCATCACTGGCCATCAGAGAAATGCAAATTAAGATAAACAGAAATGCTAAAATGTACCCCAGGAAGAATGGCTATCATCAAAATAATCTAATAATAACAAATGCTGATAAGGATGTGGGGGAAAAAATATATTGTTGCTGGGAATGTAAACTAATACAACCACTATGGAAATCATTCCTCGAAAAACTAGAAGTAGTTAATTCCATTTGATTCAACTATCCCCATTTAGGTATCTCCCCGGAAGCATTAAAAATCATCCTGTTAGAGGGATATATGTATACCCATGTTGATAGCAGCTCAATTTATAGTAGCTAGACCTTGGAAACAACATGCATGTTTACTGACAGATGAATGGATAAGGAAATTTTGATATTTATACACAACAGAGTAATACACTGTTATAAAGCTAAACCTGTGGCATTTTTAGGTAAATGGTGCAAGCTGAGAACATAATGTTAAATAAGACAAACAGACAAGTTGAAATATTGCATGATTATATGAGAAAACACACTGCAAAATAGGGAAGTAGGGAGAAGTTCAAATCTTCCTCAAATTACATAGTCCATTGTTCTTAAAATACTTAATATGTATGTTAATTTTGTTTCATTTTTCCCAGCATTGGAATCTACTAGTAGTTCCTTTACAATAAAAAGCCCAGAGGTGTGAATGGAAAAAAAAATTGTCTCTCTCCCTGAGCTGTCCAGTGCCATGTTCCCCTCCTTGACTGAGGTGCGTGGTGTAACATGCCTGTAACACTGTTCTCCAGCCGAGAATCGGTCTGTCTAAAGTACTTTGCCCAGTTCATTATCAGGAAAGGCAGGGGTCCGTCCATAACACTCCAGTGTACTAGGCACTGTGACCCTCCGCCTAGACTTGCACAGGCTGAAGGAAAGAGACCTCTGCTATCGATCGATCGGCACTGCTCCCTGTGCTTTCCCCTCTGTGTCTCCAGCGGCCAGCTTCCTCTTCAGTCAAGCTGGAAGAGTTTTCCATTTTCTTATCTCCAATTGGGACTCCGTATTGTTCACTATCTTGGCTTATTTGTTGCATTCCCAGCGTTTACTATGAACTGTATTTGATATAGTTGTTTACCCTCTCCTGCAAGGATGCAGCTCCATGGGGTAGGGGCCCTGTGTTACTCTCGGTTATGTTTTCAGTGTCCAGCAGTGTTCTGCACATACATGTACGCATTCAGCTCTTCTAAAATTCACTTTGCTTGCTGAGTTGGGGCCTTCTTTCTCCATAATGCAAGTAGCCTAACCAGCCAGAGAAACTGAACGGTTCCCCAGCTGTCTCATGTGGTCTGTTTCCTAGAGGCCACTGGCTAGATACTTTCCTGAATCTGTGGTAATCTTCTGTGCTGTGGCATTTTGGAGAGAGAACATAATAATGTATCCCTTAGGGAATCTTTGGTCTTTTTTTTTTTTTGCGATACCAGGAATTGAACTCAGGACCCCGCGCTTGCCAGGCAGGTGCTTATTCTACTGCACTATCTCCCTGGCCCCCCTCAGGGGATCTTAAATGGAGCTCTATACATGTATTTCTCAATCTGTAGTTTTTCTTACTTAGAAAATGAGGGGGATCTTGGCAAGTTAGAGTTTATTTTCCTCTTTCATTTGATTCATGCTTTCCCGCCACAGGGTAAGAAGTTTGAGATCTTGCCAGACGGCTTGCCCTCCGCCAGGAAGCTCATCTACTACACGGGGTGCCCCATGCGCTCCAGACACCTCCTGCAGCTTCTGAGCAACAGCCACCGCCTCTACATGAACCTGCAGCCGGTCTTGCGCCACATCCGGAAGCTGGAGGAAAACGAAGGTATCACCGGGTCTTGGGTGGGGGAAGAAAATGGTGCTTTGCCACCCCGTCTCTTAACTCTGTAACTGCCACGAATCATTAATCTCTGTTCTCTGAGAATGGATTTTGAGACCAGGCCTGTCCATGTTCCACACATCCATTCTGTTTACTTCTCAGCACAGTTGTGGAAGGCAAGGGAAGGAGCTCGAGGCCCACCTGCCCTGGCACCTCTGCAGCAGCTCTGAGCCTGCCCTGTGTTCGGGCTGCAGTGTCTGGGAAGTTCCCTCACACCTTGAACTTCCTCATGCTGGGCATGGGGTAAAGATTTGCTAGCTTGAAAGTCCTCATGCTGGGCATGGGGTAAAGATTTGCTAGCATCTCAGCTCTGTATGCACACTGACCTTCCTAGGTGCTGTTAATGCTATGTGATGATGCCTTAGGTTAAAATGTCAGTAAAGATGGTGACACAAATATCTCCAGCCCCTCTCATGACAGGAGGGGCCCCAACCTCAGACCCAGGATGAGAGACAAAGGATGTGAAAGTTTTCTTTGAGTTTGTTAACTGATCCCATGATCCCTCTCCAGAGATGTAATTGTGTAGAGTAGTCTGCATGAGCCTACAGTATATGAAAAGGGGAGCAAGCAGAATGGGGAAGGAGGAGGCAGTGTTGGGGCCCCAACACCTCACTTTCTCTTTATGGCGTTAATCTAGTGTTGGCACTTTCCCTTGAGTTTCAGCACTTGGTGTCCTTCCATTTAACACGCTACACCTTGTAATCCCACCAGGTGCTGTGTTGACTATTTATTTATTGGCTAATATTTTCAGTTGGTTTTGCACAGCCATGATATAGTAGTTAGACCTTAGGATGGTTTGATGAGATTGAGGGGTTTATTTGCCAGGATGCAGGCCCGTATCTTCGGTGTACATCTGAACATGTTTGAACCCTGAGATCTTGCTTTTCTTGAAGAAACAGGACAAATACCCATCATCCCTTACATAACCTTAAAGAAGTGTGTGCGTCGGGTTGATGTCTCTCAGACGGGCTCCTCCAGATAAGACCGTGGCTGGGGACTCCCGGTCGCTCAGCAGCACAGGAGTCTGTCCTGGGATGGTGTCTGTCCCAGCAGAGAATTGCTGTGGTGGCCAGGCCTGCGGGCCTCCGCTGCTGCCACACTGACAGCTCCTCCCCACAGTGGCTCACCTGGGTGACAGATCTATCTTCCCTGCGCTGACATGAATATTAAGAGGGATTCAGCTGGGGACACATGCACCAGGGGAGTCTGTGACAATGGGTGACAGTTAGGTGCAGAGTCTAAACTCTGCCAAATCTGCCTCATTTCTGATGGCCGTGATGGCACATTGAGGAATTCATCAGCTTGCTGCCTTCAGCATTTGGGTAAATTCCTGTTTAGATGACCTTATAGGGAATCCCTTAGAGCCTGAAAGAATTAGTGATCCTTCTCCATAGGTTAGAATGCCAAATGACAAAGGATGTGCAATTCTTGGAGGCCAGGCGTTGCCATGCTTATACCAGCTGTGTTTGGGGGCTCAGTGAGCTGGTGTCCTTGTCCGCCCCATGCTGCAGCCGCAAACCACCACGAAGTGGGCAGCTACAAAGAACAGAAACTTAGCTCTCCCATGCTGGTGGCTGAGCAGTCAGAGGAGCTGGCACCTCACGAGGGCCTCTTGCTGCACCCAGTACAGTTTGTGGCGGAAAGTGAAAGAGGAGTGTGCAAAGGCCGTGCCCTCTTACAGCCTTGCTGCCTGTGCAGTGATGCTGACCCGCTCACGAGGGCAGAGCCTCCTCACCTGACCTCGCCTCTTAATGGTCCTGCATCGTGGTGCCTTGTAACAGCCGGTGAAATTTCAGCTGCTGCTGGAGAGAGGACAAACTCAAACCTAACAGTAAGAGTGCCAGAGTCCTAAGAGCATAAGCTGGGTCTTTTGGATGAGTGGAAATTTGAGGAAGTCTTGTTTTCTTTTCTTCCAAAGCAAACATACATAGTTTTTTCTCCTCAGACGTAATTTTAGGTCTGAAGAAGACCTTAAGCCTGGTTTCTCTGAACCAGCGGTGGCTGCGCAGTAACTGAGCGCACCTCCTTAAGTGAGCTCACAGCTTGACGGCAAGAAAGGTTTCTGTGGGGATCCTACCCGGCAGGAAACGGGCTGGTGAGTGCGGGTTTCTCATGTGCACGCTGCCCAGTGGGGAGGGCCCATGGCTGGCTTGGAGCCTGGCTAGGGGTGGCAGTAAAAGGGCTGTTTGTAAGGATGTAGGAAAGCATTGAAATATTAGACCCATATTAACTCCTCATTGTCTTAGAATTGTAGAGCTCCAACACCTTACAGAAATGTTTTATGTGTGGTTATTTTGAAATTACAGTGCATAGAAACTGAGAAATTTTCGAACCCCTTTGGCTTTCCATCTTCATCTGTGTCCCTGGTGACCTCAGAAAACAGGGGTCATCAAAGCTGTCTGCTCCCCGGAAGGTGGGCTGTAGATGGCCACACTTGCGCTGACTGCCCGGGTGCCTGCGGTTCAGCCCCTCACAGTTCACCCAAGTCCTTAGAGCAACACGGTTGGCTTGGGCCTACGAGTGCTCCCTTGGCCTTCCCTGAGCTTTTTCTTCATCCTAGAAAGCACATTTTGCCTTCCGGTGCCCATTTCTCTGGGAGGTACTGGTGATCGCACTTCAGGGCTGGCATTACACACGGACTGTGCAAGAGGTTTTTCTTTTTTTGGTACTGGGGATCAAACTCATGACCTTGCACTTGCCAGGCAGGCGCTTGCCCCACTGAGCTATCTCCCCAGCCCTGTGCAAGAGTTTTCCACTTCGCTGCAGAACGAGCCCCTCCAGGAGCTGGCTCCTGAGACCCCAGCTCGCACACCAGTAGGCAGTCTGTAAAATAGCAGCGAGCTAACACTCCCCAGATGCATGCTCTGGGCTTAACGTTGGCCTAATGTGTTACCTCATACCAGTATTAAGAAAGCAAAGAAGCTGAATTTTCTTTTTTAGCTTTCTGACCTGAAATAGAAAAGTAATGTTCTTTTATCAGTTCTTCACGTGCCTCCAACAACATGCTGCCCCTTAAGGTAAGAATTAGTGCCTGATGAACGAGGCTTCCCAGTGCCTGACTGCGTTAAAGAATAGCACTGACACATTAAATTAAAAAGCAATTTTACCAGCCAAAGGCCACATGAGTATAAAGCATTAAGCTCTGTTTTTTAACTAATTCAGTCTAAGGAAGCTCACTAATTTGGCATAAATGGAGAAAAACTCATATATTAATGAAAATTTAAACTCAAGATCCGCACAAAAATTCAGAATAGTTTTATCTTAAATCATACTCAGTAGCTGGAGCTAACAACGGACAAAATTAAACAAACTAGCAAAATGAATCGGCAGTCAGGGCAGTTATGTCTATTAGGTAGCAGTGCTTCTGCGAGTATCTATAGCCAAGGACCAGGTCTTTTGAATAAAATGCTGTGGACTGATGCTCCTGCGGAATGCAGTACACACCGTGGCCGTCATGGCAGGGTCTGCAGCTCCGGAGGTCTCTACGTGCTCCCACTCACTGAGGACAGCAGCAGGGCGCAGCTGGGGCATGGCCTGCGACTGCAGAGCAGCTCACCCCTGGGGCTTGAAGCTTCACAGCCCTCAGAGTACTGAATCCGTCCCCATGCGTTGTACCCCCATGTGTTCCATCCACTCTGTAGTCTTCCTCCAAGGTGCCCCGCTGTCCGCTCACTAGGTGCAGATCGCAACACTGGCTCTGCTCTTGACCTGATGAGTCGCATGAGCCAGCCCATGGCCCCTCTGGCATGGTGAAATGTGATGCTGAGCTCTGTTCTCACCACACAGAGAAGAAGCAGTACCGGGAGTCATACATCAGTGACAACCTGGACCTGGACATGGACCCGCTGGAGAAGCGCTCGCGGGCCAGTGGGAGCAGCGCAGGCAGTGTGAAGCACAAGCGCCTGTCCCGGCACTCCACCACCAGCCACAGCAGCTCACACACCTCGGGCATCGAGGCGGACACCAAGGCCCGGGACGCGGGGCCAGAGGACAGCTACTCCAGCAGTGCCATCCACCGGAAGCTGAAGACCTGCAGCTCGATGACCAGCCACGGCAGCTCCCACACCTCGGGGGTGGAGAGTGGGGGCAAGGACCGGCTGGAGGAGGACTTGCAGGACGATGGTAGCAGTACTGTCCCGCCGCTAGCACCCTTTTTTTTTTTTTTTCTGTGCAGCCATATCTAGTCCGGGCTTGGCAAAGTTGGTGCCTGGGCAGCAGTCAGTAGTGGTAGTAGAGAAGTGATGCCTTGCTGCCTTGCCCAGTAGCTTGAGGGAGTTGCCTACACTGGGCTGTGGGCAGTGTCCACTCCTTCCTGTGGGGAATGTCCACAGCCATTGGTTGGCTGTTTATGTGAAGGGGAATGGAGGTTACTCTGCAGCCCTCAGACCTGCATGCAGTTAGGGCAGCAGAGAGGAGTGCAGCATCCGTGACAGAAACACCTTAGATGTCTGCCTCCTCCCCTAAGAAAAGATCCAAGTCCATGGCATTCAGTGAATTAGGTATTTTTTAGTGACTCCTATGTAGCAGGGCTGTACAGCAGGCAGCTGGCTCCTAGGCACTTGCTCCCTTATGGAGATAAGACACATCCCACGGCCTGTGTCAGCCTGGCTTAGCGCTGTGCTCCCGCGCCCCCCGCCCCCCACCCGCTTTTCTCTGTCCCTGATAAGTCTGTAGCATCCAGGTTTGGTGAAAACTGTAGACCATGCCTGTAGCGTTCCTGTAGAGCTTATGTGGCCACTGTGTACCCTGAGAATAGCACCTTGGGAAACGGGCCTGCAGGAGTACCTGGTCCTGCTACCATTAGCAGTCCTTGATGTGGCTGTAGATACGCGGCCGTCAGTTTCTGTTTGTCCCTGGTCATCAGAACAGGGTTGTACAGCTTTTCTTCCTGTTTCAAGAATAAGGAATAGGGCCTTGGAGATACCTCAGTGGATTAAGTGCCTGCTTAGGCAAGCACAGGGACCAGGGCTTGATCCCTGGCACCATATGCCATGCTGGCCCTGCCCCGGGTATGCTGAGCCAGCCACTGAGACAGGCATGGTGGTGCATGCCTATAATCCCAGTGGTGGGAAGCCTGAAGACAGAAAGAATTGTCCCTAGAGTTTCCTATTAGAGTCTGTTTAGCAGATTTATTCTCACATATGATAATTATATGTCTGTCCTTCAAATGTGGCTGTGGTTGTCATTTTCTTTATGTCCTTAACTGTCTTCTTCTTTTCTATCAGAAATTGAGATGCTGGTGGATGACCCCAGGGACCTGGAGCCAATGCATGAAGACTCTCTGGAGGTCAGCCCAGACATGTGCATCTATATCACAGAGGATATGCTCATGTCGAGGAAGCTGAATGGACACTCTGGTGAGTGCTGTGGGGAGGGCCCTGGGTGGTGGGTTATCCTGGACCAAGAAGCAGGTGCCTTGGACATAGGAGGTACTGGTTGTGACTCTAGGTCACAGGCAGCCTGGGAGAAAGGTCACGCCAGGCCACAGCCCTGAGCTCCAGGGCTAACTGCCTTCCATAAAAGAGAGGCTGCCTGGAAGGGCGCCGCATCCTTTCCTGCGTGCTTTGGACAAAAGGTACAGTAGGGTTTTACTTTTGCTGTTTTATTTATTTATTTTTTTGGTACCAGGAGTCAAACTCAGGACCTCACCTTTGCCAGGCTGGTACTGTGTCACTGAGCTATTTTCCCTGGCCCTACTTTTGCTGTTTTAAAACCAGAGCTCGAGAATTACGATGCCTCTGAAAGGGGCCCTAGGGAGACCCTTAGGTCTGGATTCACCGTTATTTGTACACGAGACCCTTTTTACAGATGTAGATTAGTGAGACAAGGGTCCCTGGCTAGCAACAAAGCCAGACCTCCAGGCTTGGTTCTTCTGCTTTCCCTGGGATGTTACACTAATACATGTAGGAGTATGGAAGAAAAGTACCAGTCAGGGTTGCCCTAAAAAGCCACGCTTAAATTCTGTATTTTTGTGAGTTCTTCTAGCAAGTATGCATTCACCAGAACCCTGCTGTCAGGTTACATAATGACTGGCTCTGCCATAGGGGAGACAGTGCCTTAGAAGGGCAGCCCTGTGGCTTTGTTGTTAAGCCCCAGTGACCCCTGTTTGCTGCGTCAGTCCCGTGTGTTGGTTTGCTCTCTAGAGAGCACTGTTGAATTGGCCTGAGTGCGTATTGTCCTGCCACCTCTAGCTTGACTGGGTGACAGGCCTGTGACCCCTCAGAAGGCCCATCCTGGCCCTGGCAAACCCACAGCCCAATGCTCACTGAGCCTCTGCCACGTACAAGTCTTTGGGATCAGAGGTGACAGAAGCGACACACACAGTCTCCCTTGTGCAAGAGCACCAGTGTCTTTCACCACAGTCCATTTGTTCGTCCAGCCCACAGCAGCTGTTCTCGGAGCAGACCTGCCCTGGCACAGAGTCGGTGTCACCATCCCTGTCCCTCGCTAGCACCACGCCATCACGCTGGGCGATACAGACACGCTTGGAGTCCGTGTGCCAAGCTTTGCCTTTTTGCCCATTTGCTTTATTGCATTACATTTTTTTTTACAAATATATTTCAATATACATTAAATATACCTGCAGTTATACACTCATGATAAGTGCATGGGTAGCTCTATATGGGTTTATGGAAAGAAAGTGGGGCTCAGTGTCCTGTGAGAGCTCCCAGGGGGCTAAGGTGATGGTCATCCAGTGTCGCCCAGGCTCCTGTGGGAAGGGCAGCTGAGGGCAGTAACTTGTATTTCTGTGTTCAATTTTTGTAAGGTTATTAATTTTATAATAATAATAGAAATAAGAATGACTATATAAAATGTTTATTGAAATGTTATTTCTAATAGCAAAAAAGTGAAAGATTACTCTGTCTATACAGTTGGCTGAGGGTTAGATGGCTTTTACATAATTGGTAACATGAAAGATACATAAGGAAAACAGTACAAATTATATAAAAGCATAATCTAATTAAAAATAAAAATGCTTATCAAAAAAAACAGAAAAATAAGATTATGCTTAGGCTTTTCTCTGAAGATAGGTCCCTTGATTTTATTCTCCTTATCACCCTTACTTTCCAAGTTCTCCGCAGTGCGCAGCTTTGCAGCCCTGAGCTGAGTCTGAAGGGCTTTGTGCTCCTTCCCTTCCACGGTCACGGGGCTGGGTAGTTCCGAGCTTTGAGCGCCAGCCTTTGCTCTGACCGTGTGGCGGTGGGCATGGGCCTCGGAGAAGTGCTCACAGGTGTGCAAGCCGAGGGCCTATGGACCAGGAAGTCCCTAGGGGCAGCCCTGGCACCAGCCAGCGCTCCAGTCCACGTGCTTCCATGAGGTTCCTTCAGAGGTTTTCAGCTCCCCAAAGACGAGGGTTTTTCTCAGGAAAACCATGATCAAAGCCAGAGCACCAACCCCAGACGTGTGCATCCCTGGGAAGGTGTGGGGTGCTCTGCATTAGCCAGGAATGCTTTTATATCCGGGTGCCATGGAACTAGTTGAACTCTCTGTGTGTACAAGCGTGTGCTAGACTCTGAATCATCGTGAGACATGTCCAGAGAGTTAAGCGAGAGGACATGGAAGGCCTCTTCTGCAGGCGTAAATAGTGGTTAAATAAAAATCCCCTTATCCGCTTCTTTTTCTATAAGGTGAGGATGTGCTTTTCCTGAGAAGCCTTTTGGTTTGTGGCTCCAGGACTTGACTTACTCACTTGCTTTACCTATTGGCAAGAGAAATATCGGCAGTGACCATTTACATCTCTAGTTCTTGTTGGGAACTTTAGCTTCTGAAACAGTTTTTCTAGAGGTCCTTCACTCACGTGCCAGAGCCATAAAGGGAAATGTCAGCCCGGGTTTCTGCTTCTGGAAATGCAGCACATCTTCCCTGGGTCCCAGGTGGCTCAGGGCTGTGTGGCTTTCAGAGACTTGGCACTGAGTGCTCGCTCGGGCTCCGCTCTGGGGTCTGCTGTAGGGGCCACACACCCATGGCCCTGTGCACCCAGAGGAGCTGCTGGTCTCCAGGCACGTGACCCCATTTTGCAAGAGGAGGGGACAGAGGCACAGGGAGACTGAGAGTTGGCTGGAACACAAAGCTAAGTACTTACCCCGGCCGGGTTCCAGCACAGACCTGCTTGACTCCAGAAGCATGACCCCTGAACTGTAGGGCTATGTCACTGTCCACAGGACAGAGTTGGTGCCAAGTGGCAGGAGGGAAGAGGACTTTACAAGACATCAGGGAAGGGCTGCTTCATAGCTCCAGCCTTTATCCTGCATAGCTCACTTAAATTTTTTTATTTTAGAAGGCAGGCCAGATAACTCAGCAGACTAAAGTGCCTGATTAGGCAGACACAGGAACGGGGTTCGGTCCCTGCCCCACCCCTGGGGCACACAGAGATAGTGACAGATTGGGCGTGCTGGTGGGCACTGTAATCCCAGCACTGGCAAGGCTGCAAACAGGAAGATCACTATGTGTCTGATCTGTGTAGTGAGACCCTGTGGACCCTGTACTAAATACATAAAAAATAAAAAACAAAAATGGTTTTAGAAAATGCAGACTCTAGACTTCCTGCACTCCAGCCCCATGTTCCCTCCTGGTCCTTCTGGTTGTCGGCCACAGAAGGCACAGCATGTCACCTAGATAGTGACACCATTCAGCTTGGGGCCCCAGAAGTGGCATGTGTCGGATACACAGCAAGAGGTGTGAGTGAGCAAAAGTATTCATTGTTTTCTTCTCTGTTTTACCTCAGGGTTGATTGTGAAAGAAATTGGTTCTTCCACCTCCAGCTCTTCAGAAACGGTGGTCAAACTCCGAGGCCAGAGTACTGATTCCCTTCCACAGGTACTGAAGGAACAGGAAGTTCTACATAGGAACCAGCGTGGCAAGAACTTTTAAATGGGAACTTAAATTTATATTTAGACATGACCAAAAAATTTTCCTAGGAGATGATTCTTTTCAGATGTGTGCCCTCCTATTTTCTGAATTTCTGTTCTGTTTGCTAGTTGCACTTCGGCTTTTGTTTGGATAAACTGCGTATTTCGTTTCCCATTTATATGGGTGGAAGGGAGCCTCTGGCGTGCAGCCGGCAGCTTCGCTGAGAGAGCACATGTGCTCACGCCAGCATGGTGCACGTGGCCTGTGCCTGAGTCGGGTGACCTCAGCAACCACGCAGAGTGACGTCGTGGGCAGTGTGCAGTGGTAGAAACGTTTCTGTCCTCTGCTTTTTCTTTTCTTTTTTTCCCTAATTTTTTTAAATTTATTTTTCCCATAATTTTATTAAGAAACAAATAGCAATGAGACAGTTTCAAACCAAATTGGTAGGACAGTTTCAATAATTAACATATTTGCATACATTCTTCCTAGTGGTTAATTGCTGTACAAGATGCGGACATGATATCCTATTTACAAACACCATTAGAACAAATCACTCTATTCAT